ATGATCCTTTTGTGGGTTCTTTCCAGCTCAGGCCTTGCTATGACTCCGTGACTGGCAGCCAGGGCTCAGAGAGGCTGGGAAGCTGTGTGTCTCCCCTGCACAAAGTCAGGAGGTAGGAAAGCAGCACCTGCTCCCTCCAAGGCTTCCCAGACAGCAGCAGATTTCCAAGCCCGTGCCCTGCTGTGGGGCTTCTCCCTGTGGAGGGGATGCTGCTCTTGCAGTGGTGGGGGCACAGATGCTGCCCAGAGGGATAGGATGGTGTGTGCTGGTGGCCAAGGGATCACCATGGTTAAAATACCAATCAGCTGCTTCAAAGCCAGAGCATATCTTAACTGCTGGGCAGGTGACACTGTGACACTGTGTGGTGTCACCAGTGTGTGTGTGTGTGTCTTGTCTCTGTGTTGTGTTCTCCAGTGGGAATTAAATGCTGGAAAGAGCATGGTAGGGGGCACAGGCGGGGTTTTGGGGCTTCTCAGTGCTCAAAGTAGGGCTTTTTGTTGGGAATTCAGCTGTCTGGCTGAGGATCACAGTGGTGGATGGCCATGGGATCACAGGATCATGTCAAGGGGAACTGTTTAAGGCTTGCAAGGGAGGGGGTTTGGAAGGGAAAAGTGAGTGAGACTGATGTATTTCAGGGTTTTAAATGCCAAATATTGTCTTAAAGACAAAAAAAAGACAACTGAGATCTTGCTGTGATTGAAGTTGTGGCGAGTTCTCTCTCCTTGGGGGAAATATTTTCTGTAGCTGTTGATTTAAGAAAGATCAGACATTTTCCCCCCTGATTTAGTCTCTCTAATTGTTTTCTAGGAAGAAGGCAGTTATTTCAATGTAGCATTTTGTATAGAGATGCTGCAACAATCCATGGCCGAGGCTGACTGCGTGGTGGTTGGGTTCCAGAGGGCTGCCAGAGGTGCAGCCTCTGTGGTGTGCAGATGTTTGGGAGAGGCTTTAACTTGAGCTGTGACCCTGCTCGAGGTGTCTGTGCTGCTGCAATCCCAGCCCTGTTAGGGGATGGAGCCTGCAGCTCCATCAACTGATGGTTGTTAAGGTTTTCCATCCCTGCTGCTCTCCTGCCATCCCTCTGCTCTGGCAGCCTCGGTGCTCCTGTTCATTGGCACTGTCAGCAGCATGGAGACATGGCTGGGCATTCCAGGGTGGGTCACCTGGGGAAGGGAGAACTGTCCCCACACAGCCCGGGGACCTGCAGGATGGACTCCTAGCTGGCTCTGTGCAATGCCATGGCCTCTGGCTGGGGGATGGCAGGGGATGTGCCCTGCTTTACCCACTCGTG